TTAATTAATTGATTTCATTTAATTGGATTTAATGATGAATGAATGGTGGATGGTTGGTTGGTCGGGTTGGGTCGGATAACAGATTGAGGGGAATGGAATCGTTCATTATTGGTAATTATTTAAATGATGCACAAACCATTATCATTTAATTATAGGCAATTTATGTTTTGGGGGAGGAGGAAAATTGAAAAATTGTAATTTTCATATTTTTTTTTGTATTTTGTTTTGAAGAGAAGACGTGCAGAAAATTTTTAAAATATTTAAAGATTTTTTTTTCGATTATTTTTTTAAGTAAAATTTTATTAGAATTTAAAGCATTTTGAAGAGAAAGAAAATTATAAAGATTTTTTTTGGATTGATAGGTTAAGGTGTTAGTGGTGGTGTTGGTGGTAGTGATAGTGGAATGAAACAAATGCCAAGAAATGGTGAAAAGTGAAAAACGGGGAAATGAAAGGAAAGAAGAAAAAGATTTAAAATTATAAATTGGAATTTTATTAATTATTTCCTTAGACATTTTTTTACAGATTTCAAAATTAAAAGAGACGTTTTCAAATAATACCTGACACATAACAAAAAATACACATTTTTACAAATTTAAATCAGTGAAATAATAAAGGATAACAAGCATTACCATAATTGTTGTTACATTTCCTTGATATTTTCAAAATATTTTTAATATAGTTTTGATATAATCTCTAATCTAAACTCTTTTTAATTTCCCTTATCTTTTTTTTGAGCTTCTATTTTTTAATTTCCTATTTTTCTGTCTTAAACTTATTTTTGATATGGCAAACTTTTCCAAACTTAGAGCCCCCATTTTGACTTTTGGCCAAAGATAATAATTACAAAACACACATTGGAATACAACACAAATGTCCTACTGCTCAACGACCCCTCTTGGAACAATTGTGGCAACATACAATTATTGTAGGAGGCCTACTTTGTAAAAGTCTAGCGGAAACCAATTGGCCTTATAAATTTGCATGTCCTCCATACAAATACTGAGGCAAGTTCTCTTTTTTTTGTAATACATACATGATTGCCACTGTGTGTTTGAGAAACAATAGATGTTGTTGAATAATAACGGAAACGACCGCCAACCGTTTTTAGCCAGCTACAACAACAGCAACAACAAAGAGAGCACCACAGCAAATTGAAACCATACATTTACCAAAAATTTATTACCAACCACTGCTCGCCTGGGCATCCGTCGCCTTTTGTTTGAGTTGTGAGCTCTTTTGTTTGGTTTGAGGTTAATTGGACTGCATGTGTATGAATGTGTGGGTGTGTGTGTGTGAGTGAGGATATTTCTATGCCATATCTTTTCTCAGTGTCCGTTGGCGATATGAAATTTAATACCGGAACCAAAACAAACTATCACAAATTATCAGAATTCAAGGCACAGTGGTTGTGTATGTGTGTGGGAGGAGAGAGAGAGAGAAAAGACCTAGAATAGTGGGAGATTATGTCTGGATTGTTATCTAGTTGAGAAACTTTTAAGAGAACACGAAGAGTGAACAATATGGTTTTTATATGCAAGATAGCTCTCATATAAAAGAAACAATACCTTTGTACAAATTGACCCACCAATAATTCTAGAAATCGGACTTTTGAATTATATGTCGCTATTTCAGAAAGTAGAAAAGCTTGCCATGTATCCAGTACCAATCATTATTGGAGAAGTATAAATAATTTTATTTTTTTTAAACCCTAATCAAAATATTGCCAGCACCTTAGAGATTGAGATAAGTATAAGAAATAAAATTTCCAAAAATTGTCTAGATCGCCAATATTAATTGTGAAAGGGTCAAGGGAGAACATTTTTTTAATAAAATAATAGAGTTTAGGTGATAAGGCGACAATCTCAATCTGAAAATTTTTAGAAATCAGGAATACCATTTTTATTTTGTTAGGAAATTTTCTAAGAAGTTTTTACTACCCTCCACCATACATAATATGGAAGCACAGATCAATCTTTTGTCTGCAGGCAGGTCAAGTTCGAAGATGAGCTATATCGATCCACGATATTATATAGCCCCCATATAACGGGTACCCCCTATATTCGGTATTTTTAACGATTGTAGCCAAATTTTTCAATGAAACTGTCTGAAAATCTACACAAGGAGTTCATTCTGTATACTCTACCCTCTGCGACATTACTAACTGGATTTCTTTCAAATGTCGTGCTTGAAGTTCCTAATAGGTACTACAGCCTGTGACAGAAAATTGTCTATGTTGCTTCAGTTTTTCGTATAGCCTCCATATGTCGGTGCCTCCCCATATTCGGTATTTTGCCTGTGACAGAAAATTGTGTATGCAGGTCCATGTCTTCGTATAGGCCCCATATATCAGTACCACTCTATATTCGGTATTTTAAGTAGAATATTCACCGAAATTGTTTGAAATTTCGCATTTAAAGTTCCTAATGAGTAATACAGCCTATGCCAGAAAATTCTATATGCAGGTCCAGGTCTTCGTGTAGCCTTGATATAACGGTACCTCCCTATATTTGGAATTTTGATGATTTTAGCTACATTATTCACCGTTTTTCTTCAAGTTTCGTATTTAGATTTAATAATGGGAACTACAGTATCTGCTAGAAAATTGTCTATGCAGGCCCAGGTCTTCGTATAGGTCCCATAAATCAGTAGCTCCCTATATTCGGTGTTTTTAAGATTTTAACAGAATTTTTTAAAGGATTTTATTCTTTTGAAAATTTCCAAATTCGTTCCAAATGGTGGAGGGTATTTAAAGTTCGGCCGGCCGAACTTACTGTTTTTTACATGCTAAGAGTAATCTTTTTGTGGAATTTTATGAGGATACAAATTCTTCTTGGGAGCTACCAATCTAAATATGTTGGAAACAATTTGCCTTAATTCCTGGGTCAAAATATATGAAGTTAAAGAAATTTTCAGGAATCCAGATAAACCTTTTTCAATCTTAAGAAAATCTTCTTAGAAGAAAATGAGTGGTTCCGTAAGGACCTCTGAATGCGAACTTTCCATTTATTTAACATGGGAAATCTAAATATATTTTTTTATATTTGACTCGATTTTCTCTCTTCGATTTTGGGAATTGGATATTATGAGGTGTTTGAGTAGAGCAACAAATCCACCAAATTCTGCTCAAGAAAACTCCCGACAACCATCTAGTTCTTCCTTAGAATATTCCCTGCAACCACTGTGCTTTCCTAATCCCCAGCAGAATGTCAACCATATTAAATGGCAAAGCCTCACACTTAAAGTTAAGTCCTTAATAGCATTAAAATCCTATTATAGACAAACAATATGCCCCACCAAAATTCACTGAGCCATCAAATGACCCACTTGAATTTGGATTTTTTCTTCAAAATGTGCAAGGCCACATCCTTACCATCCTTGTTTTGTTGCAACTGGCCATTAGAATGTACTCAAAGTTTGTGAAAAGGCCAACCGCAACACCACAACTATTAAATACAGATATTCTCTTCTTCAAAACCAAGAGCATACTTTTAGGTGCCATTTTTAGTATTTGGGAATTAAAACATATCGCCCGTCCTTTGCCCATAAATATGAAATACTGTTTGTTTACCAAAAAACCTAAAAGTAAAATTTATTTGTTTACTCTACTAAAAATAATAGCCTTTGAATCCTTTTCTTCTTTCTTCTTCTCTTCTTTAGGTTTTGTCTTGTTTGGTTTGGTTTAGTTTAGTTTGTGTTAGAGACTTTGTTTGTTTTGTTTGTGTAATGTCTCTATTATTTGCAGTCATTAATTACAACAGTTTTTCATAGTGAGAACCTACAGAGACAGAGACAGAGCGAGAGAGAGCAAACAAAGAAAATTCTTTTATGGCTGCGTAAAAATATTCTCATTGACCTTGAAATGAAGGTACACACAAGTACGTGCCAACCTAACTACTCACTCGCCTACTCAGCCACTTGAGGGTATTGTATGAAAACCGTATGACATGCATCCAATTTAACCTTTGCCCAATGCCGCTGAACTCGGAGAGTATTTTTATGAGATTTTTATTAAATTCTGCAAAAGTACTTATAAATGTCTTCTTTTCATATCTCAGGGGGGTGCAAGGCCTCTCGAGGGAGTTGCTAATAACATAAACAAATAAACAATTGATGTTTTTGTTTACCAAAGAAAAAATTACAATTTGAGGCCCTTGACATTTTCATTTGCCTGGCAAAGAATTCAGCCTGTCTTTATGACACAACGGCTGAGTAATGAATAAATTAAAATATTATTTTTTTTTATATTCCCATTAAATAATGCCTTGACTAAATCTGCCATAGCAATAAACATATTTTCTGGGCAAAAAAAAATATAATAATAAAATAATATAAACAAACCAAAAAAAAAAAATGAAGAAATAATTTAAGACATTCTTTTAAGTAAACTAAGGTATTTATATGGAAAAGAGGAAATTTTAAATATTTATGGCAAGCTTTTAGTTCGTTTTTTTTTTTCTCTTTTCATTTGTTGGCATTTCTAATGGTAGGATTCGTACACAAGGGTATTTTTTGGGTTGCATATCTACCACTGACACTATCTAATATGCATACTCATTCGCATTTGCCTAAAAGTATACCATTGTTGTGTCATAACATTTTATTCATCCTAGACAATCCTCTTAGCACATTGTGGGGTGTAGCTTTACTACTCCTCTAAATGGTTCTAGTTTGGCTCTTTTCTAGAGGGAATTTATGCTTAAAACTATAAAAAATAAACTAAATTGGAAAATAAATAAAATTAACATTTTTTTCACATAACTAAAATAAAATAAAATTTATTTGCATGAAATTTAAGAGCATTTTATTTGTTTGTTATTTTATTATTTTTGTTATAAATTAGCATCTAAATAAAGTGCAAAGTATTTTTTGAGGAATTTTTTTTTAATCTAAAATCAAATGCAAAAATTGTTTTCGTTTTCATTGCCAAATGCATTTTTAAAGGAGGGTTATTTGTTGAGGATGTCGGTGATTTGGAAACAAGGATAAATTTGTACATACCTTGAAGACTTGACGGCAAAGGAAGTTCTCTTTAACTGGAAGTAGTCTGGAAAAATGAAGAAAAAATAAATAAATTTTAATATTTGGAAAACACAAAATGAAGAGGAAATTGGTATTTTAGCTACTTAAAGCAATTTTTAGAAAATTATAAAAATTAAATACAGGGTGAGATAAAAAAAGACAAACGTCATAATTTTTACATTTCTATATCCTCCACCATAGTATGGAGGGTATATTATGTTTGTCATTCCGTTTGTAACACCTCGAAATATACATTTTAGACCCCACAAAGTATATATATTATTGTCGATTTAGCGATATCCGTCCGTCTGTCCGTCTGTGAAAATCACTCTATCTTCCGAACGAAATGAAGTTGGTTGATAAAATTTTACTAAAATGTGGATTTCGTCTGCAGGACTTTTGGTATTGAAAATGAGTGATGTAGGTCCACGTTTTGGTATAGCCCCCATTTAATGGTACCTCCCTATTTTCGGTATTTTGGTGATTTAAGCGACATTATTCACCGGAAATGTTTCAAATTTGGTATTTAAATGTCGTAGTAGATACTATAGCCTATGACAGAAAATTGTCTGTTCAGGTCCACGCCTTCGTATAGCCCCCATATAAAGGTACCTCCCGATACTCGGTTTTTTTGTTGATCTTAGCGACATTATTTGCCGGATTTGTTAAAAATTTGACATTTGAAGCTCGTAATGGATACTACAGCCTATGACAGAAAATTGTCTGTGCAGGTCCATGTTTTGGTATAGCCAACATATATTGTATCTACCTGTATTCTGTATTTTGATGATCATACTTACATTATTCACCGATTTTTTTTAAAGTTTTGCATTTGAATATTGTCACGGCTTCTGACAAAATCGTCGTATGGACTATAATTTATTAATAATAAATAAAAAATAATAAATAAAAATAATAATTAATAATAATAATAAATTTTATAATTTAAAGGCTTTTAAGGGATTTTATTTATTTATTTTTTTTTTTCAAAAGTGCCAAATATGTTCCAATTGGTGGCGGGGATTAAAAGTTCGGCCCCGCCGAACTTGTAGTTTTTTACTTGTTTCTATTTTTTTCTTTGAATAAAAGCAAAAAAATGTCGGAAATAGCATCAAATTTAAGAATAAGTTTAGATTTGTTCGAATCGGTCACCTTTGGCACGAATTATGGCCTTCAAACGGCCAATGAAACAGTCACACGCTGCCCGAATGTTGCGCTGCGGCATTTTGGCCCATTCCCGGCGAATCGTTTGCTTGAGGTGTTCGACACTTTGGTATTTTTTAGTGCCAACCTTGCTTTCCAGAATACACCAGATACAATAGTCCAACGGATTGGTATCCGGAGATTTTGGTGGCCATTGTGCGCTGGAAATGAAGCGAGGAACCTCATTTTGTAACCGTTCTTGAATGGCGCGTGCTGAGTGCGATGGTGCTGAGTTCTGTAGCAATATCCAAGGTATGCGGACAAACTGTTGCGTGCCCTAGGCTTTAATACACCCTCCAGAATATTTTCGCGATAACATTCGGCATTTATTCTGATGCTAAGGTCGATTAATACGAGCGGAGAGCGACCATCAGCTGTTAAGGCGGCCCACACCATCACCATGGCCGGCGCTTGAGTTCTGGTGGCAAACCGCCAGCCGAAGGTACACATTTTCAGCTGACCTCTTTGGCAAGTAAACACGAGCGGACCATTTTGTTGGTTTACAAACTGCTGGGCAATGAAAGTTTTCTCATCGGAGAATACCAAATTCGACAGTTCACCACTTTCAGCCAAGCGAAGTAACTCTTTGGATCTTTTGAGTCTATTTTCTTTCGGTTGCGGTGCAAGTTCTTGCACTTTTTGGAATTTCAATGGCTTTACCCCGAGCTCATTTTTCAATATTTGCCGAATGGAATATTGCGATATGTTCAGCTCACGAGCCATTTTTCGGCCATTGCAACGCGGGTTTCGATCAAGTCGCAAGTCGATTCTTTACTTTTCGAACCATTTCTGCTGATGTTGCTTTTTTCTTCCGTCCACTTCCTTGACGTCGGGCTACGCTACTCTTGAAAAAAGACGTCCGTGAGCCAGAAATGCGGTGTAGTGGGAAAAAATAACGTCCTTACTGCTTAATGCAAACCAATACATTAGGTGTTAATCATACGCCCACCTGTACCCTCCATGCAATGAATTGATATCAATCATACGACTTGTAGAACGTTGAAATTGACATAAATCGGTATTTTGAATTATCTTGTGCTTGAATTTAAAGAGCCTGAGAGGGGTCAACATGACTGTCAGTACTGCAGATTTTTTTTTTTTTTTAAGTGGGGTTCCAACTAAGTTCGGAGACAATAGAATTTGTAAAAAATGTCTTAAGAATGGCTTACAAAGGCAATTCAAGACCCATTAACCGAATTATTTTGAAAGTCTGTAGAAGGCCTTTTTTAAGATTTTTTGAGAAATAAACACGTGGAGGGATGTTTGAGTTATTTAGATGTTGATTTTTTGAAGATTGTTTGGAGAATCATTGGGGCCTACATATTTGGGTTTTTATGGTGGAGGGCTATAAACATTGATTTTTTGAGGACCTTTTTTTATCTCGCCCTGTATATTAAGAAACAAACTTAACATTTTATCTTCTTTTAAGATTTTTAATTGAAAACGCAATCCTAACCTTTTTTGAGTGACTTTGTCATTAAGTGACTCTGCTCTTCAGCTTAAATTTTCTTCAAACTTATTCAAATCTAAGAACAAAACAATACTTACTTGGCCATTTCGGATAACTGCAAACGTCCATCTTTGTTGGCATCGAAAACTTGGAGCTAAAACCAAAAGAAACATAAAAAGAAACCCAAAAAGAAGGGAAATTGTGATGACAGAATTTGCATTTAAAAAGATTTCTTAAAAAATTAATGGGCGACATGTGTAAGCACTTGTCTTCTTTTCAATTAACACAGAAAGAGAGACAGAGGACAAAAGATAAAATATGGAATTTATTATAAAAAAAATGTAAAAAAATTCATTAGCATATTTTCAGGCCGGGCGAAAACAAACTGGCCAAAGAATAACTTTTCTTTAAAGGTAAAGAAAAAAAGAAAACTCATGTTTGACCATTAAACTGCTGCATAATTTTAGGTGCCTTCATTTTAATTTCTGTTTTGTTTTGCTTTATTTTTATTTTCTTGATTTTTTTATTTGCATACTTTCAGGTTTATTAATTAAAACAAACTATTGCATATTTAGAAAAAATGTTTTTTGTTTTCCTTTTTTTCCTTCCTTTACAAGAAGTTTAAATGACTAGTATCAGCTGTTACGCAAAATATAGTAGCTAATTTATTAGATTCCAAGAAGGATTCTCATTTTCAAGTTTGCTGCTCAAACAAACAACGTAGAATCTGCGCTGTTTTAATTGCCTTGCAGGCCAAAGCAAAAGAAAATGAATTCACTTTTTTGCTGGAGGCAAGATTTGTTGCAATTCTTTCCGTTTTTATTTTTTGTTTTAAACTAAAAAAATGTTGTTAGACAATAAAAGCAGTCAACTACAGTCAGCTACACCCACATTGTATTTAAAGCCCCCCCTTGGCAAACTGTGTTAGTGCTGGAATTAATTGGGTGAAAGATTGTCTGCCATCTCGCGGCCTTGCCATTTTCACAACATGTCCATGGGAGGTCATAGACAAAAGAGATAATTGATTTTTCTTCGCCTTTTGTTGTTGTTGTTGGATTTTCTTCCAAAGAATATGGCTTTCACAAGTGGAACAAATTGTGTTAACTACGGACAGTTGAAAGCCCAGAAGGTGGAGCTTTTCTATTTGGGAATTATGTGAGAGTTCGAAGCTTTGTTATACGAAATCACAAATGCATCTTTTTGAATTTCCAAAGAACACAAAAGAAGGAAAGAATGCCAAAAGTCCGATGATATATGTATCGCCAGATTTTGTGTCTTTATGATGACTTTCTTGAAACCAACTTCCAATTTAATTGTCTCAAATAAATAAAAATTAAGGTTCTCATAGAATTCAAGAAATATTTTTGAAAATTCTTTAAGGATAGTTCAGAACTTATTTTGGAGTAAGAATGCTAGAGTTAACTGTAAAGTGAACTTTTACCTTTTATATTTGGAATTTTTATAGCATACTTTTAAGAGCTCACAACAAATTTTTAAGCCATAAAAAAGTGTTGTGATATATAAGCATATTCTACCTTGTAAAATATATAGAGGCTGAGATGAAAAAACTGCAACAAAATTATAACTGCTGTCATTTCTATGCCACTCATCCGACAGCTGTTAAAACTACTCCAGCGACATTTCTTGTTTACAAGCGTTCAAAAGCGTTTTGGTGAGAATTTTTCAGAAAAGTCATTCGTGATGGAATTCAAGCGTGATAGTGTGATTTTTTCATAATTGGCTGGAAAACCACAAGTGGCTATCGTTAGCGAACTCCAGCATTTAAATGTGAATAAATCTTTAGTGTCTCGTACTATCGCTTGTTACCGTGATACAGGTAGCATAGCCCGAAGTCAAGAAAGTGGATGTAAGAAAAAAAGCAACATTAGCACAAATGGTTCACAAAACAAAGAAGAGCCTTGATCGAAACCCGCGTCGAAGTGGCCGAAAAATGGCTCGTGAGCTGAACATATCACAATATTCCATTCGGCAAATATTGAAAAATGAATCGAGCTCGGGGTAAAGCCATTGAAATTCTACCGCAACAGAAAGAAAATAGACTCAAAAGAGCTAAAGAGTTGCTTCGCTTGACCGAAAGTGGTGAACTGCCGAATTTGGTTTTCTCGGATGAGAAAACATTCATTGTCCAGCAGTGTGTAAACAAACAAAATGATCCGCTCGTGTTTACTTGCCAAAGAGGTCAGATGAAAATGTGCACCTTCGGTTGGCCACCAGAACTCAAACCCCGGTCATGGTTCTCCGCTCGTATAAATCGACCGTGGCATCATAATAAATGGCGAATATTATGGCGAAAATATTGTGAAGGGTGTATTTAAGCCTTGGGCACGAAACAGTACTCAGCACCATCGAACTCAGCACGCACCAGCCAAGAATGGCTACAAAATGAGGTTCCTCGCTTCATTTCTAGCGCACCATGGCCACCAAAATCTTTGGATACCAATCCGTTGGACTATTATGTCTGGAGTATTTTGGAAAGCAAGGTTGGCACTAAAAAATAACAAAGTGTCGATCATCTCAAGCAAGCGGCCAAAATACCACAGAGCAACATTCGAGCAGCGTGTGACGTTTTCGTTGGCCGTTTGAAGGTCATTATTCGTGCCAAAGGTGACCAATTCGAACAAATCTAAACTTATTCTAAAATTTGATGCTATTTCCGACATTATTTGCTTTCATTCGATAAAATTAAAAAAAAAATTAAAAATTATTGCGTTTGACTTTGTTGCAGTTTTTTTATCACACCCTGTACTCGCCTTTAATTCATTTTTTTAAATTTTATGTTAGGAATTTTTGTAGTATATTTTTGAGCGCTCCTTAAAAAAGTATAAAACTTTTCGATATTATAATATATAACATATTCAATTCAATTCAAATTTATTGAGCCTTTTTAACACGAAAATTTAAAATTTTGAAGTGAAGAAAGAAATACTTAAAACTATAATGTTTTGTTTTAATGACTAAAGCGTATTTTCAGCTTTAATTTTATGCAAAGCACCCAAAAGTATGCTATTGAAAGTATGATTTTAACATATAAATGCTAAGAAAGTCACTTTATATATGACTATAACATGATAAGCAAAACTAGCTTTTGGAAGAAAAATTAATTCGTAGAAGTAAACTTAAAGAGTTTATCTTTGGGAATTCCTGGAATATTTTCGAAAAATCTAAGCTTTAGAATTCAAAATTATCCTAAAGCAATATAAAATCATTGTTCCATATTTTAATAGGCGCCCTATACATATGGCCCGGTTATTAAATTTGGAAAGACATAAACAATGATTTTGAAATATTTTGTTATGTTCTGCAGTTGAATATCCAGTTACATATCCTTTCCCTATTTTATTTCCTTCTCACCGAATCAAATCTGTTTTATTTACCCCTTTTTAAAATATGATGATATAAAATATTCAAATTTCTTGTTTGCCAAACATAAAAACCCAAATCATTTTCAATGCGCCAACAAGTGGCATTGGAGGATTATGACCGAGGCCACGCGCAGCCACGGCAATCCTTCAACACTGGGAAAATATTTGCATTCCGTTGATGTATTACAAAATAAGTATTAAATCACAACAAAATTAATTCCACTTAAAATGTCCACATTGTTTACCATCGACGTAAGCCTAAAAGTATACAACAGCATTTTCATATTACACTCGGGCGAACAAATATGATGAGCCGATGACGACGACGATGATGACACGCATTAAAATTTACAACAAGAACACAACATGTACATAGATACATATGTATGTTAATTACAGCCATTGTCAGGTTTACAAAATGCAATGTCAATGCAACCGGGGCCATGGGGGGAGCCGCCATCCCACCGTCCATGGCACCTAAATATGTAAATGATTTGCATTTTGTATCAAGTACAAGTATTATGTTAACAATTCAGCTAACTTGTGTCGATGAGTCATTGTTGACATGCTGACAATGGCTTAAATGTGTGTGCGTCTGTGTGCGGGTGCGTATGTGTTTAAATTGGATTAGCAAGTCGACAGATATTTTGTGCGAAAACAAAACCGGAAAACGAAAGTAAATTAAAAACGAATGCGATTTATCGCCCTATCCAAGGCACCGAATTTAAACATTTTGCAGAGATACGGATACTCTCACATCAGCAGTTTTATTATTTCACTGCAAAAAAAGCTAAACACACACACACATTGTTGCCATCGAGAGAGAAAGAATTGACACTCAACGACAATCTCATAAATAATTTATGATATCACAAATCATTTTGAAATGCTTTATTGCCGGCCAGATAAGTGAGGGTTATGGCAGAATGCTATGTAATTGAAACTAGAGAATTATGGTTATTACTCTGCCAACCCAAATACATGGATAAACGACGAGGTACTACTTTCTTTTTCTTATGACACGTCTTCATTAATTTCCACACAACATTGTTGTTGTTGTTTTTCTCACTTACCATTGTATCTGTGTATTCAATCAGCTTGTCCTCGGACACATCATTGATTTTCTTGGCCTCTTTGAGCAAATCCCTGAGGAAATTTTTCAGTTCATCTGCCTCAATGTAACCGGAATTGTCGGTGTCATATTCACGCCAAATCTATAAAAAATAGAAGATTGCCAATATAAATAGAAATAAATTTCATTTGATATTCCTAAAAGTATGCTTTAATTTGTGTCATAAACATGAAATGGCTCAATGTGTGTCATTATTATTTGTTATTATGTTTTTTTTTTTTTTCTTATTTTCTTATTGGCAATTTATATTAATTGCAATAATAATTATATATCAATAACCTTTGTTATGGCCTTACCTTCATAAATTCCACACTGGATTCCAAGGGATTGTCGAAACGGAACAGCAAAAGGAAATTCTCCTCCATTGGAAGCAATTGAGCCAACTGTAAATAATATTGAAGAAATAAAATGAGTTATTTTTGGGTTGGTATTAAAAATAAAATAGAGAGCTTTGTTGTTGGGGATGGTAGTTATTGCAATTGCCTTGAAATAATCTACAATATTAAGTGATATTTTTGGATTGACGTCGATTTCTTAAAGGGTCTTTTACTTAGAGAATTATGGTCGAGATTTTAAACTTTTTCTGATGTTAAATTCTGTTCAATGTCTTTTATGCCTGGGTACTTAAATTGGAAATATTTGCTAGAATATCGGAGATATTAAACATAAAAATGGCAAAAATATCTCATAGAGTTCAAAATGATTGCCTGACTCGTATGAAATTCATACAAGGTAATATTTATATCAGACTAAGGTCATGTGTAAAGAAGGCGACCTACTCCTTCTGGTACGTCTCCAACACAGGGTAACATTTTTGAAAAAAAAAACAGGTCTCTTAAAAACTTCGAAATAATTTATTTCACTAATACTGATCCACTTCCCCTGGTGTCTCTTATACTCCTCCAAAAACGGACTAATTTTCAACTAAACTGAATTTAGAACAAAAAAAGTTATAGAAGAAGTTTCGTTGGCCTTGAAGGATTATACAATTTTATAGATACTTTTTGTAGAAGTCAGAGACCATTAATTTTTTTATAAGTCTACCGAATTTATAAAATTTGTTCGTATTTCTATAAAATTTGATTGAAGAAGGAGGCCTCAATAATTTTAGAAAAAAAAAAATTCAAGAACTTCGGAAGAATACCAAATTTTATGGAAACTTTTTCTTCATCCTCAGAAGCTAAAATTTGCTTAGAAAAAAATCGTGGTCCTCTGGCATCCTGAATTGTATAAATTTTTAGTTATACTCAGAGGTCCACACACTTCCATTTAATTTTGAGAATTTTTATAGTGTACTTTTAAGAGCACACAAACATTTCTATAGACTATCCTTTAAACAATTCTATATTATACGTACATGTACGGGGTGAGATAAAAAAAACTGCAACCAAGACAAATGCCATCATTTTTACATTTTTTTTATAAATTTCATTGTATGAAAGGAAAAATGTCGGAGAAAGCATCACATTTTAGAATAAGTTTAGATTTGTTCGAACTGTTCAACTTTGGCACGAATTGTGGCCTTCAAACGGCCAATGAAACCGTCAAATGCTGCCCGAATGTTGCTCTGCGGTATTTTGGTCCATTCCCAGCGAAGCGCTTGCTTGAGGTGATCGACACTTTTGTATTTTTTAGAGCCAACATTGCTTTCCAAAATACACCAGACACAATAGTCCAACGGATTGCATCCGGAGATTTTGATGGCCATTGTGCGCTGGAAAATGAAGCGAGGAACCTCATTTTGTAACCATTCTTGGGTGGCACGTGCTGAGTCCTATTGGAATGTCCAAGGTCTGCCGCCAAAATGTTTGCGTGCCCAAGGCTTTAATACACCCTCCATAATATTTTCGCGATAATATTCGGCATTTATTCTGATGCCACGGTCGTTTAATACGAGCGGAGAGCGACCATCGGCGGTTATGGCGGCCCACACCATCACCATGGCCGTCGCTTGAGTTCTGGTGACCAACCGAAGGTGCACATTTTCAGCTGACCTCTTTGGCCAGTAAACACGAGTGGATCATTTTGTTTGTCAACAAACTGCTGTACAACGAATGTTTTTATATCGGAGAAATACCAATTCGTCAGTTCACCACTTTCGGCCAAGCGAAGCAATTCTTTAGCTCTTTTGAGTATATTTTCTATCTGTTTTTGTTGCGGTGTAAATTCTTGCTCTTGCTCTTTTTGGATGGCTGTACCCCGAGCTCATTTTTCAATATTTGCCGAATGGAATATTGCGATATGTTCAGCTCACGAGCCATTTTTCGGCCACTGCGATGCGGGTTTCGATCAAGTCGCTTCTTTACTTTTCGAACCATTTCAGCTGATGTTGCTGTTTTCTTCCGTCCACTACCTTGACGTCGGGCTACGCTACCAGTATCACAGTAACGAGCGATGGTACGAGACACAAAAGATTTATTAACATTTAAATTCTGCAATGCTCTAAGGATAGCCACTTGTGGTTGGTTCTCCAGCCAAATATAAAGAAATCACACTATCACGCTTGAATTCCATCACGAATAACTTTTTTTCTGGAAAACTCTCACCGAAATGCTTTTGTACGCTTGTAAACAATATAAAGAGCTGGCATTGGAATAATTTTAACAGCTGTCGGACGAGTGGCTTAGACATGACAGCAGTCTGAAGTTGGTTGCATGTTTCTTATCTCACCCTGTATATATTAGAAAATTTTTCGTGGATCTCGTGGGTCTAGCTTAAAGTCGAAAAAATATTGGTCCAATCCATCTGAAATCTCCCGTCAAACGACTATCATTTTGAAAGTCTTAAAAAGTATATAAGCGGAATTACATAGCAGTAATGAGATAGCCTAACTTTTAATAGCATAACGATTAAAATCAAGCCAAAACCTTTAATTCGTATATGATTCCTGCACATAGGTACATAAATGGTCATTTTCTGAAGAAAATGGTCAGATACTTTCAAACATTATCAATTTCCTTAATTTCCAAATCTATGCCAATCACAGCCATTATTTATTTAATACAATTCAACAATTTGTCTATCTCCGGGCCAGACAAACAAATTAACCATTCTGAAAATAATGAAGTACACGAAATCATTTAAGGCATTATTAAAAAGGCTTTTATGGTGGCAGAGAATACCCCCTGCCTTTCCTCCCCTCCCCCCCCTTCCACCAATAAAAATTAAAAGCAAAGCAAACTTGGTCCCTAAAAAGAAGATCTGCGCAAATTGATTTGCATTTCATTTCAAAAATTTAAGGGCAAGCTATTCCGATGATTGCTAATGGTTTTCCGTTCACAACCTCCCACCAGGAACAACTTTATCGAATAGTAGTAAATGGCAAATATTTGATTTGAAATCAGGCGTTTATTGTTTGTTCCCTTTTCTCCAATGGGAGGTGGAGTGGGGTTGGGTCTTAGGGTGGGGGGTGTGATGAATACAAATGGGTTCTCCACTTATTTGCTTACTTACCTCTCTGATATCAATTTTGCCATCTTGATTGTCGTCGTAGGCCTCCATGAAACATGATTTCAATTCACCCAGCATTGTGTCGGTAACAGCCTGAAAATGAATAGAAAGCAGATAGAAATAAGAAAATTGAAAACAAATACTTGGCGAAAAGTAATGCAAAGACAGTCGGACAGACCGACAGTCTATTCGTTTTGTGTTGTGTTGTTGTAAATATGAATTTCAAAAATAGAATAATTTAATTACAAGCCAATAGCAATGACAGTTAATATCGGATGTGACAATGCCATGTCCCGTTCTGCCTTGAGTTCTGTGTGTTCTGCTAATTTTGCACAATTTTCTCGATAAATCATATTTGTCATGCAGGGATTGGGCTGCCTTAAGGCTTGATGCTATTAGCAGCATCGACAGCAAAATCTAATGACAGCCACAATGACAAGTGGCATAAATATAGGCGACATGCGATATGTGATGACTGTAGTAATTGTAGGTGAATGGCAAAAGGGGATAACTAGTAAAAAAATTTAAAAATAATTTCAGAAAATTTAAAATGTTCTAAATTGAAGATATTTGAATTATGTCCCTAATACATTTATGTGATGAATTTATTTTAGGTGAATGGCAAAAAAGGATAACTAATAAAACGTTTAAAAATAATTTCAGAAAATTTAAAATGTCCCAAGTTAAAGTTATTGGAATCATTCTCTAATATTTTTATGTTCGATTTCAAAATTCACTTAAAATTGTCTTTAAGTTGCCTGTTTCTTAACTTAAGTGTGTGGGGCCTCCATCACTTCCAGTTATGTAATTGCATATTTTCTGTTTTTTTCTTCCTTCTTGTCACTAAAAATAAGACCAACTCATGTCCTATCCTTTTTTTTTGTCTTCCTTTACACATCCTTCCATTGTAACTGTGTTAAGAGTTAAGATAAAAAAGTGGCACATCATAGAGTGGTTGCACCAGCATCATCATGGCCACCGCCACCGCCACGCCATCAGTAGTAGCAGTGGCAATGGTCCTTTTGACCATCATATCTTCAACAATTTCAAGCTTTAATTCTCCCACGCCCACGCCATGTACAAGTAAACGGCAATTGAAAACAGGGGAAAAAGATGTGTGCTTTAAAAAAAGGCACAACTTGTAGTGATGACACATCATCTGACAGTATTGTCCTCCATGTTACTTAAACGCCCTCATATTTTTCTTTTTTCTTTTGGGGTACAAAGAATGAAATTCAATAAAACTGTGATCCTTCCCAAAAAAAAGAGTATGACCATATTGTAACAATAAAAGGATTGCCGGTTACAAGATATCTGCTGAAATGTTATTTTCACAGGCTAAAATCACAGAGCAAGGGATTTAAGCAAATGTTGTGGCTCGTTGAAAGGGACTGAGGGTAACAAAAATTAAAAGGGAAAAATGATAGTTTTCTTGGGCAGTTGAAGATATAATATGGATAAGAGACTATGAGAATCATATGTTCCAATAATCAGCAGTAATGTATTTTTTCCATACTCAGAGGTTTTTCACAAATTAGAATCCTTAGTTCTTCAAAGAAATTAACCAGAGTTAAATAAAAGGATAAACATAAATATATGCTTTGTTCCTTTAATTGAAATTGCAAGATAACTAGTAAAGGAGTGAAATGTAAAACTCTCTCGGAGAGAACTATTTTACTCAGAAAGTAAATCAGGGCCGGCAAGAGAGTCGTTCTCTTATGTTCTCCCAATATGATTACTCTTTAATTCCATTGTTTTTCAATGGTTCTAATTGTGTATATAGGAAGATTTACGCTCACTGAGAGCACGAGTGCCTGTATTTTTCTGACAATGAGGTAAAATAACTGAAAAGTTTTCAGTGAAAACTAATAAAAATGCTAAAATTTGATGAGAATTGTTAAAAATCACATTATGAGGCAATCAGAAAATTGCAATCATGCTACAACTTTTAAGTTCCCAAAAATTATCAAGCACACAATGATATATCCGGACTGACTTTAACCAAATTTAGCATAGGTTCTTCTTGGCATTGCTAACACTGTCTGTAGAAATAGCTTGTAATCAATTTAAAACTATTTTTGAATTCATTATAATCTCAACCTCGTGATTATAGAGGCTATATCATTTGACAGGTTCAAAATGTGTCTTATCGAAATAACAGGTTTAGACCCTAAATCCTCTTTGATGAAATCAGTTTCAGGCATTTGTTTTCGTTCTAGCGTCTATTTGGCTAGTTGACAAATACACGTTTGATTAAAACTTTGCAAATAGAAAAATTATTATGCCCTCAGACATATGGACAGAGAGGGTATATATCATTTGATACGGCCATGAAGTGCATCATCGAAATAGCAGTTTTAGACCCTAGATCTCTTTGAACCAAATCCATTTCAGGACATATGGAGTCGATCTAGCGATGTCGGTCCGTTCATCTGTCTGTTTGCTGGCTGGTGCGCACGATATCTCTCGAAGGGAGTATCCAAAGGGAGTATCAAACTTAGATCGAGTTAGGAGATGGGCAATGTCGGTAAACTCCTCCTGGTACCTCGCCCACAAAAGGTCAATATTTTCAAATAAAATATTTTACTGTACAGAAAGAGAAAGTTTTCGATTTTGCTTCAACTTTGCAAACCTTATATAAGCATCCGTTCTAAGTCAGGTGTTAAAATGGACGGTCCACTGCATCAACTACCTCAGCTACAAAGGATCAAAATTTGAATAATTATAACTCTTATAAAATGTTAGAGTCCGATTGTCTTTAAATTACACACATCACAATATTTTTATTAACCCAAGGTGTGGTGTGAAGATGTAATATATCGATCCTCTCCTTCTGGTACCTACCCCACAAAGGGTAAACATTTTGAGAATCCATGGAACTCATAAGACGCAAAATGAATCTCCAATTCCATTCAGACTTGGCACATCTCAATATTTCAATCAATACAAGATCTGTTACAAAGAAAGTAGAGATCGGGCCATTTTCTTCTGGTACCTCCCCCCCCCCAAAAAAGGGATCAATGTTTCGAATAACCAAAACGAATATTAAATTTGAAATAAACATCTGGTTCCCTTTATACTTCACACATGCCAATATTTTTCTAACACAAAATCTGCTGTGAAGATGGGATGTATCGATCCACTCCTTCTGGTATCTCCCTCACAAAGGGTCAAAATTTTGAATATCTTAGAAGCTCCTGATACGCGATATTAACATCAGATTCCATTCAGAATTGGAAAATCTCAATATTTTTACCAACACAAGAACTATTATAAGGATAGTAGAGATCGGACCATTTCTTCTGGTACCTCCCACACAAAGGGTCAGGGTTTTGAACAACCAAAACGATCATATGCATCCGACTCTCTTTACATTTCACACATGCCATTATTTTTACTAACACAAGATCTGCTGAGAAATTTGTATATATCGGCGCACTCTTTCAGGTACTTTTCCAACCAAGAATTCAAAATTTTGAAAAACAAAACGCGAAATAATCGTCTAACTCTCTTCAAATTTCCCGCATCCAACATTTTTGCTAACGCAAAATCTTTTGTGAAGATAATAGATATCTGCCAAACCGTTCTGGTACCTCAACCATAATACTTACATCTGTCGAAATTGCCTTAGGGTGGAAACACATAAAGCGCATATTTGGCTGGCTTAAGTCATCGGCTGGCTTCTTCGTAGATGAACAGAGGAGTTTAAGGTTGACATAGTTCGATTTTGGATCTAGGCTCCTTTGTTCATTTTCGAAGAAGCCAGCCAATGACTTAAGCCAGCCAAACATGCGTTTTATGTATTTCCAGCTTTAGTCAAAAATCTGATATGAAAATGTAAATAATCGGAATTTATGATTTCGTATAAAATTGGATATAAATGTTCGATTTCCTACGAAGTTTGCGCATGCCAAATATTTCTATCTTTATTAGATGAAGTATAAAACTGGAATATTTCGCTCCGTTATATCTGATAACTCACGTATATTTCCACATTATCCGAAAATGTTCACATATCTCTTATAAAGTATAGGAAGTAGTCGATATAGTCCAAATATGGCACGTTGTAGTATTTATACTAGACTTAGGTCAGATACGAATTGGTTAATATTGTCTAACTGCTTTGGAACCTTCCCCATAAAATGTCAACAGTTAGAAGAATCATAATTCTAGGCTGGGGGTATACAACTGTCGTCATAACCGACTGATACTATTTAACTTATTTTATCGAACTTAGATCAAGTTTGAAGATGAGTAATATCGGTCCAATTCTTCTGGTAACTCCCAAAAATATTTAAAAAAATTTAGAAATCGGAGGGTGTATCCGATTTAGTTGAAACTTAACTCTCCTGGTATTTGTATCACTATTGCTTAAAACTTTGGTCAGAAGGACTCCGATAGTCTCTCCACAGCCACAACGGTTTTTTGTGCCAATGCTGCAGTGTCTAAGCCTAGGACTATACTTAGATGCCAAGTAGCGAAAACTCAGATGTAAGAATAATGTCGGAGAATGCTCTAAGACACCTAAGCTAAGCGCTATTAAATAAAAACTTGGCATTTCTTAACCCTAGGCCCAATTTCTTCCCTAAAAAGCAAACTCTGTTCCTGAACCTAAAAATTTTGCCACTACAACTAGTTCTGGAACAAAACAATTATTTAATACATAAATCAAATAATTCATTAAAACCTATATGTATTTAGAGCCTTTAATATAAATCCTGAATATTTTATAAATTTCGTATGCCCCTGAATATTATTTCTACATTTAAACAACCCTTGTTAGTGGCAAATATAATTTGCAAATTAATCCGCCCCTTCAAACACTCAAGAATTCCAATTTCCATGTCAAGGCATACCCTTAATATCCACTTGACAAATATGATCAATTTCAAGAGGGGCCACGAATTAGCATTCCAAAGTGTTCTACCCACACGCCACATAATTTGATGGCACTTTTAACACGTAATTCCACAAAATCCAACCTCCAATTCCCTGCCTCCCTCCCTCCTTCCCTCCATCCCCCGACTTAACAAATATTCCAAAAAGGCCAACTGTCAACTGGTGATTTGCCCACAGATTTTGTTGGCCAACTTGACCCCATTACGTGTCTAATCTGTTCCGATGAAATCACTTGTCCAAATGTTGAGTTTTATTGCCCTCAAATACTTGTGAATTCGAACACACAATTATAAAAGCAATTTTAGAAACAAAATTCCTAATAATTACATCATTCAATGGATGATAGCTACAACAACAACAGCAACAACAATGAAAACAAGGAATCTCCACTCGACATTTAACAAGAGAATTCCATTAGCGAGAACGAAAGGCAAACAATGAAAACAGGGAAAAATAAATTGTAAAAAATGTAATCAAATTAAGACAAATAAAATAAAAACAACCAACAACAAAAACACCAAAATAGCAAGGCAATTGTTTTTCCCCACTTACCTCCGGACTAATGTCTGTGGCATTGGCACTGGAAACAAACTCACGCAGAAAACCATCCAATTCTGTGCCCTCAATATAGCCATTGCCTGGAAAAAAGAGAATACAAAAGAAAAAAAAATGAGGACCATTTGAATTCAGAGAATGCCCCCTAAAGTAGGCTTCATTTTCTTGTTCTACTTACCATCATTGTCATAATGGGACCATACATCCATGAATTGATTTGCCGAGAGCTTTTTCAATTCGCGTGATTCTGGATCACGATATTGGCGCATAAAGTTTTGGGCCTTTTCGATTTGGACACGTTTGGCAGCGGCAGCAGCAGCCACTGAAGCTGCATTACCAGCACCATTTGTGGCTTCCATTTTATGTTTCTGGTTGCTGGGTTGTTTCGCTGGTGGAGGGATAACTTGCTGCGAATCTATTTGTAAGTTAATTTAGGCAAATATTGCGTTACAAGTTCCAATTCTTTTTAGAAGTTTAAACGAATATTTCGTGCTTGTACGCCAACTGGCCAACTTTGGAATGGAGGGGACGGTTTGTTGATATTTTGCCAAGTCACGTTTCGAATAGATGTGACAGTTGCACAGCTGCTGGATTCTTCCAAAAAAAAACCGAGAACTAGAAACAAACATAAAAAATGGAAATGGAATTGAGTAATGCCTCCACAAAAGGAAGGATACACAAACAAATGCAAAGGAGTCCCCAGCACACACACACCCATACACATGGGCAACACACACACAAAGATGACTACCGAAACGGAAATAATTTGATTTGAAATTTGAACATTTTTCGTTTCTTCCTCTTCGTTCTCCATGCTCCTGCCACTGACAATCGGCAATCAATATCAGTTGCAATGGCCAAACAGCAAACGAATGATGCTGTAATTTGAACAGGAAATGATTGATGTCCCCTGGAGCTGTTTTTTTCGGCAGTCAGGCAGCCAGGCAGGCGAGCATGATGTGATGATGTCGAATGTCCTCCGTTTAAGGCAAATTACAAATTGATGAGGTTATTCTCCCAAGATACAGGCATTTGCATAACTTCGGTCAAATGGATCAGAGATGAAGGTAATATCGGCTCGAAGGCGCAGCCATCATCATCATTAAAATGGAATTTGCAAAAAGAAAAACGAAGAGAAAATATTTTTATGGGACAGAAATTTTAATGAATTTTTAAAAACGACAAAAGTTTTGATTGTTTCCCAAATGACAAATTTATGGAAATTTTGGAGAAAGGAATGGAAAAAAATGGAAGAAAACTGGAATTTTGTAAGTCTTTTTGAGACACTTGAGACAGAAGTTGTTCGTAAATAAAAAAAAACAAGTAAGGAACGGTGGACAAAAGTAGGGCTGGGACGACTATTTGATACCCTACACCACTGTATATTTGCGTAGAGCTCCGGTAACAAAAAAAGTTTATATTTGGAATGTGATGTGAAGTAGATCATACCCACTATGAACCTTAATCAAATGCGTATCATGGTTTTAGAGTAGTCGCAATTTGGGAACTATATCCAACTCTGAATCGATTTTCAACAACACATATACTGTACCGAGTTTCACTAAATGGAAAAATTCGGTTGAATATGAAAAAAATCTATCCGATTTGGGTGATATTACGCATATGAGATGTATAGGGAAGGTATATAAAAATCTGAACCGATCTCGATAGAATTTGACAGAGGTATTTTCGAGGTGTATCTGATGTCCGATATCAAATATCTTTGTTGTAGAGTGCATATTATGCATGTGGGGGACTTTAACACCAAATCGGATATGGAAGCTATAACAATATCTGAACCGATTTTCAACAAAATTGGAAGTATTTGATTCTGGGCTGAATTCCGTTGGAAGTGCCCAAAAATCAGTCAATTTGGGCTGATATTAGCCATTTGGTGCACAATAAACCTGAAATCGGAAAAAGTTGTACATGGAGCAATATACAAATCTGAACCGATTTTGACAAAATTTTTGGCACTCATTTCTGAGCTGTATCTGATATCTTAAAACCCCAAATCAGATGAAACAGATATATGGGAGCTATAGCTATATCTAAACCGATTTTCAAATTTGAAACACATATTTCTTGGATGAATTCAGTCAGAATTGCCAAGACTCAGTTCATTTGGGCTGATATTAGCCATTTGGTGCATAATAAACCTGATATCGGATAAAAATATGTATGGGAGCTATATCCAAATCTGAACCGATCTCGATAAAATTTGACAGAGGTATTCCTGGGCTGTATCTAATATCTGGTACCAAAGATCATTTTTGTGGAGTGCATATTACGCATGTGAGGAACTTTAAACCCCAAATCGAATGAAACATGTATATAGGAGCTATAGCTATATCTATACCGATTTTCACCAAAATTTGTGAACTTGTTTCTAGACAGAATTCGGTCGGATTTGGCATAATTCAGGCCATTTGGTGCAAAATAAAACTGATATCGAATAAAGATATATATGGAAGCTATATCCAAATCTGAACCGATCTCGATACAATTTAACAGAGGTATTTCTGGGCTGATACCTGATACCAAATATCATTCTTGTGGAGTGCATATTACGCATGTGAGGCACTTAAAAAACCAAATCGGATGAAACATATATTTGGAAGCTATAGCTATATCTGAACCGATTTTCAACAAATTTGATGTACTTGCTTCTAGACCGAATTCGGTCGTATGTGTCAAAATTCAGGTCGTTTGGACTGATATTGGTCATTTTGTGCACAACGAACCCGAAATCGGCTGAAGATAAATATGGGAGCTATATCTAAATTCGAACCGATTCTCACCAATTTCAATAGGGTTTGTACTTGGGCAAGACAAATATTATTTGGAAAATTGCATCTTAATCGGACAATAAATACATGGACGAACGGAGTGGCACACATAAATCGACTCAGAAAGTGATTCTATGAAGATTCTCAGAAGTAACTATGGGTCTATCTAGCTTCCTTCTCCATATTACAAACAAATGCACAATAACATGTGGTGTAGGGTATAAATATAGCAATAAGTGAAGCAAAGGCACTATAGTTGGCGCTAACCTGATATACCTTGGCTAAAACCTTGTGAGGTAGAACAGCGTAAATTGGACAGTCTCTAATGAATTGGGTACTCCCCTTGCTTGTTTGATTTTTTCTGCAAAATTTTCACCTTCAATGCCAGACTCATTCAAAAACGTGACATTTCCTGCTTTGACCCTTTATAAAACTTATCTTGTTTTCAACACAAATAAATATGCGATGAGATTGGCTTTGTTTCATGTTTTCATAGAAAGAGATTATACCCGCGTAACCCTTTTAAAATATTTCGAAAAACCATTCGGATATGCATTTATGTATTTTGTTCTCCATTCGGACCAACCTTCCAACTTCTATAAAATTATGTAAATTACAAACTCCATCTCCCCTTGTCTTCCTCCATCCCATTATCAATGCAAAAATAAACAAATAAAATAATTTGCAGGAAACATTTCAACCACAAAGTATTTTTGCATTTCTTTTTAACTTCGTTCTGCCGGTGATATGTTGTCGTTTTGCTTCCGCAACATTGGATTGTTATTGCTTTATTTTGTTGTTGCTATCATCCGCACCATCTTTGTCAGCGTAATCATTATCATCATCATCCTCAGCAACAGCAGCGGTGAGCGCCAATTGCACAACCAAAAAAACCCTTTTTTTTGAGGTTTTACCTTTGATTAAAAACTACAGGAGAGCAGGAAGAGGAGGAGGCAGAGGAAGTGCACTTTTGTGGCAGTAGATTTCAGTTTGTTTCCCTCTTTGTTTTTCTTTTTTCCTCGACAGTCAGCAAATCTTATTTAATCAAAGCGATGTAGGGGTGGTGGGGCAAAAAATGCAAATAAATTGTAACAAGTGGATGGATGGATGGAGGGATAATGCAATAAAATAATTGGAATTTCCAAGTATTTTTTTTCGGAAATGCAAAGAGAGGCATCGTATCCAAATGAATGCATAACTTGCACTTTGTTTTTGAGAATATTTAAAAAAATTGCATATTTCTATCATCGAATGTAGATATTTTAGGACTGGATTAGATCATTATTTGGCAAAGGAGGACCTTTACTATTTGGGGAACAAGATTTTCATTTTTTTTTTTTTGATATTCATTTTCGTGGTTGCATTAAAGATACATTTTATGATTTTTTTTAGAATTTTTGAATGATTTCAAAAGATTAGCCTGCTGATCCCCATAATAATTTAGTAAACTTAAATTTTGAAAAAAAAAAAAAAAAAAAATATGTACTGTTCTAGAACTACAAGAATGTAAAATTGTTTACTACGATAATCGATTTTCCCTTTATGATATCGGAAAAAATTTCAAAACTGCTTGATTCTTGTAGGTACTGTAACAAAGCAATACATTATTGTCTCTATATATTGCACTAGCAAGTGCCCGCTACTTATCCTTTACACCAAATAGTCTTTAAAATCTTGAATTTGTAGTGCAATGGACCCACATCAAATTTTGCTTTTAAAAAAAATATTTCAGTTTATCCATTGTAAATTCCAGGAATCAACAGTGACCTCAAAATCAAATTTGAGGATCTCACCCAATACCAAATTTAGTAGGAACATCCAAAACAATCAACATCTACTTTTCATACAATTATAGTAAGAAATCGGAAAATCGCCACCATAACTTAATTCCAGATACCAATAGAGATCTGAATATAAAATTCCAGCTCTATTCCTTCCCCCAATACCACTCAGTACTTATCGAACAATTATAGTACAAATTTCCAAAACACCCTGCGTATCTTAACCACATACACCAACAGTTACGTCTGTATCAAATTTCAGGATTTCAGCTCTAATCTCTTACCCATTACCAAATTTAGTACTATATGGTACTTTCCGCAAAATTATACGCATTTCCAAAACCACCACCTAATCCAAATTTCAGATACCAACAGATATCTCAATATCAAATTTGAGAGTCACTTAACCCAATACCAATTTAGTACCTTTTAGTAATTTTCGTACAAATATAGTACACATTTCCGAAACAATCTCCATATGTCCAGGCTACACGTGAACAGCGACTCTAATACCAAACAATTTAAATTTCAAGTACTATCGGTTTATCCAATACCTGATTATACCAAATTTAGTACTATTTCGTACTTTTCGTATAATTATTGTACACATTTCCAAAACCATCTCAATTCCAAGTACCAACAGAGATTTCAATATCAAATTTGAGTAATCCTTACGCAAAACCAAATTTGGTGCCATTTAGTACTTTTCGTACAAAAATATAGGACACATTTTCAAACTACCGCCAAATCTCAAACACAGATACCATTTGTAATCTAAAAATCAAATTTCAGAATATTATCTCTAACCCTCACGAAATACCAAGCATAGTACCATTCAGTACTTTTCGTACAATTATATTACACATTTCCGAAACCACTTCCATATGTCCAGGCTAAACAGGAACAGTGATCCTAATACCAATTGTTTATCCAATAACTGATTTTATCAAATATAGTACTATTAAGTACGTTTCGTGCACTTTTAGCACCCATTTCGAAAACCACCGCCATATCTCTATACCAGATATAACAGAGACATCAATAT